ATATATATAAACCATCTATACACTGCTATAATTTATGGCTCTAATTTGCACAGGTGGAGGGCCTGCTGGGTTTGCTGCTGCCACCCGAGCGTGGGATCTGGGCAAGACAGTGTGTATCATCGAGAAGACTAATCTGGGTGGTGCGGGTGTATGGGTACGTTATACCATCTGTGGCATTTTATATCATGTGCTGTTATTTTAGGTTGGGCGTGTTGTTTGCAGGATGTGTTTGTGGTTGTGGTGATGTGTGAGTATGAGGGGTGGTTGTGCTACTGTGAGCGTGTTGTAAGTGTTACTGTGATGGTGTGTGTTTTGCCATGAGTTCGCCCCGGGTGTCCTTTCATTCGCAAACGGTTTAGATTGCGGGGCAGTCGGGTGGCGTTGAGTCACAGGCTACTTTATTCTTCCGCGTCTATTGCGCTTCTAGTTAACGGTTTGCGCCATAGTAGTGCTGTCATGGGCATGACATCCGTGTGACAAACGTCAGCGTCTTCTTAAGCTTAACAGATGGCTGTCTGTGCATTAAACCTTCGAGGTGGGTAATGTGCACATGGCATGGCGTATACTTCCACGGACACACTCGTGTAGCACCGGTTGACGGCTCATGCTCAAGAGTTACCTGGGGTGACTATCGTTCTCATGTTGAACTGTGTATGTGCTTACTTGTCCGTGAAAACGTTAACGAGAATCGTCAGTTGTCGTCATACTGACCCATGACCTGTCAGCAGAGACCCTGTTGTCACATGTACGTTTATTTGCGGTGACGTACTTCTGACACTGCTTCATTCTGATTTCTATTCTTGTACTTGTATATTCCATGCATATATGTACTTGTATGCACTTACGTATTTTTATGTATTTGTACGCTTATGCATATATGTACTTGCATGCACTTACGCATCTTTATGTATTTGTACGCTTATGCATATATGTACTTGTATTAACTTGCGTATTTGTATGTATTTGTACGCTTATACATATATGTACTTGTATGTACTTACGTATTTGTATGTATTTGTATGCGTGCGTGTGTGCAGGATGGTGCCCTGGCCAGTAAAACCATGTGGCAGCTGAGTCGTCGGTCCAAAGGCTTTAAGGAACTCCTGTCTACCACCAACAGCGGATTGGACTACATCGGCTCATTCCCAGAGATACAAACCCTCACGCAGGATGCTGAGCGTGCAAAGTACGTGATAGCGTCTGCCGCTAAGGCGACGGCAAGCGAGTGCAGTGGGAGTGGTGTGTTTGTGTATTGGTATGGCTGGTGTGTATGTATGTGTGTGTGTGCATATATATATATATATATATATATATATATATATGTGTGTGTGTGGGTGTGGGTTTATGTATGTATGTGTGGGTGAGTGAGTGAGTGTGTGTGTCATGTGGTGCGTGTCCGTTGTATGTACTTGTGTGGGTGCGATTAGTCACAGTCATACGTTGCCGTGTGTGCGTATATAAATGTTACTGTCTTCCCTTAAGTGTCTGTGCACATGCGCATGCACGACCAATTCGTTCACACACCTGTGTGTGCCTCTGTCTGTGATTTGCCTCTCTGTACTTACGCAAGTGGCTCAAGTGTTCGTTTATAGACAACGTGTGTATCATCGAGTTCGCACAGGTTGAGTCGCGTGCACTTTCTTTTAAGGGTTTAGGGTTTTTAGTACCGATTTTAGGGTTTTAGGGTTGTGAGTTTAGGGGTAGTACCTTCGCCAGTAGGCGTGCATACGCATGAACTAGGTTTGTGTGAGCATTGCAAGACAGCTGGTGGGCCTTTTAGGGTTTTAGAGTCTAGGGTTTACCCTATATCCTAGGCAGAGCGATGGTCAATTGGGTGCAGAACACGCTGACAGCCACACCCACACGCTGTCATATGTACGCAGGAGGATACAGCCTTAACATATACACATACTACCAGTACATACGTCCAGATCTGCGAGTTCTCGTGCCGCCTGTGTGAATTCCTCCATATACACACTGAATATAAACACATACGTACATGGACATACTTAACGTATACACATGCTAACATATACATATACTAACATACACATACTAATTATATGCACACTTGACATATACACATGCTAACATATACACATTTGACGTATACACATACTAACTTGTACACATACTATCAGACACACATACTAACGTATGTACACATACTACTATATACACACTAGCATACACACATACTAACTTGTACACGTACTATTATATACACATACTAACATATGCACACATACTAACTTGTACACATACTAACTTGTACACATACTAATATATACACAGACTAACATATGCACACATACTCACTTGTACACATACTAATATTTACACAGACTAACATATTCACACATACTCACTTGTACACATACTAATATATACACAGACTAACATATGCACACATACTCACTTGTACACAAACTACTATACCCACGCACTAACATACATACATACTACCTTGTACACATACCACTATATACACACACTAACATACACCCCATTGACTGCCATCAGATCGGTTCAGTATGAGACTCAGCTGGAGGCGTTGTCCAAAGGGCCAATGAACAACTACCTGCAAGAGAAAGTGGGTGGCTTAGTGACCCTGGTGTGCGGCATAGCCCAGTTTTGTGGGCCAAATAAGGTAACGGCTGCTTATACGTGTGTGGAGGGTGTTTGTACATGGACAAGTAGATGTATATGAAGTGGGGTGTGTTGTAATAGGTTTGTAGTGTATTTGTAAATGTATATGGAGAGAGAACACACACACCCACACCCACAACACCCACACCCACAAACACACAAACACACCCACACACAGAGAGGCTTGGCCTACTTTGTCCCATGCTTGTATATTGTATAGTTCCCATACTTACACACACACACACACATTCACCCACAGTGACTTGACTTGCTTTGTCTCTCTCGTGTGTAGGTGTGTGTGGTGAGTAATGGTCATCTGTTATTCACTTACAGTGACTTGACTTGCTTTGTCTCTCTCGTGTGTAGGTGCGTGTGGTGAGTAATGGTTGTCTGTTATTCATCCACAGTGACTTGACTTGCTTTGTCTCTCTCGTGTGTAGGTGTGTGTAGTGAGTAATGGTTGTCTGTTATTCACCCACAGTGACTTGACTTGCTTTGTCTCTTGTGTGTGTAGGTGCGCGTGGTGAGTAATGGTCGTCTGCTGAAGGGTGCCAAGAAGGCGAGTACCCCCGCGGGCATTCGTGAGATGACGGCTGAGAACTTTCTGATCTGTGTGGGCAGTCGCCCCAGAGAACTACCGAACTATCCCACAGACGGTATGTAGGTGATGTGAGGTAGGGTGGGGTGGGGTGGCGGAGATACGTGGTTGGTTTTGGACGGCTTCGCTTTTTTATTTATATTTTCAAATTTGGATTGTAATGTCTATTCTTGTTTGTTGATATATCCATCTTTGGATTTAGATGGCTTCTCTTTCTATTTATATATTCATCTATGGATTTGTATGTCTTCTTTTTGTTTATTTATTTGTTCTTCGTTTTGTATCTGCATGTGATAGCTAGTTTGCGAGACACCACCCGATGTCACCGGTTGACACTCGGCTCCAACCGCACCCAAAGCGATGTTCTAAACCCTAAAACCCTCTCCTTCAACAAACACTTGTCACCGTATGTTATAAGCTCTGCGATTGACATGTGATCTTCACTGTACACGTGCACGTGCCTGCATCACTATTCTGGCCGTTGCCTGCGATTCTCACGCCAATTTCTATAAAACCCTAGAACCCTAAAACCCTACCCTCGCCCATCGCATGCGGTGCGTCCACCCACAGGTGTGCGTGTGATGACATCAGATCACATTATGAGAGTTAAGAAGATGCCCGAGAGTATTGCCATTGTGGGGGCGGGTGTGATCGGCTGTGAGTTTGCGGCCATTCTGTCCAATCTGGGACAGTCACGAGTGCACCTGATCAACGAACGACGCAAGCGACTGCTGCCAACGGAAGACGAGGACCTCTCCAGCTATCTCACACGCTCATACCAGGATGGAGGTATCAATAAACACACACACACAC